CCTGAGTCTCTCTCCCCGGCCGCGCTTAAAGAGACGCTTAAAGAGACGCTTAAATAAAATATAGACCCTCTCTCCGAGATCCTCATTCGCAGCCCGAGGCTCTCCGACTGTTATCCCGTCAGCTGTGATTTGCAGAGCATTCCCACTCAATAAACACATCATTAGTATTCATATTAACGGCACACACTCTTCAGGTTCTCTCCTTTAGTGGAACTCCTGAATGTGGATGAATCCGCTGCAGCTTCACCTCCTTTTTCTTTCCTCTTTGGTGCTTCCTGTCAGAATGATTGATTGGGACCAGGGCTCACAGTGTCCTGCATTACCCCAACAAATGATCTGGCCCTTGCTGGCAGACCTTGGCCAGAAAGAAATCAATATTTCACCATTAAAATCTATCAGAGGAGAGTTAGGGCAGCGGCTGTCAGAGGCGACGCTATCAAGCCGCTGCAACATTAAACCTGACACCTGCAGCACATGAGTAATCAATATCTAGTGGCTCACAGATCATTTGTGGTCACCTTTTAAGCCGTGATGGATGTCCCCCGGGGCAGTGATTCATGTTGTGACACCGTTTAACAGGGTTTTATTCCAGTTTAGACGGTCATCCCTCAGAGACGAGCGCGAGATGGAGCGCCGCGGCTCCCCCGCTAACACCTATTTCATCGTGTTCGGCCTGTCCTCGGCCATTACTGCACGCCTTTTTATAGGTTTTGTGCTCTGCTATGTGTGAAAAACACATAAGTGGGTGCAAGGTCAAACTTTATGAGTTCCAGCTCCAGTGGAGGACCGAGCGAGCTTTACACCGAGGGTCAGAAATGTGGCAGAAGTCTCAGTGGGTACGTTTTAAAAAACGAGACTGTAAAAATGTAAATCGTGGGCTTTAAAATGACTCCTCGTGCAGCGTGAGAGCGAGGAGAGAGCACCTGAAAATGGTTAAAATTCAGTTTTATTGTGGAGGGTTGTGATTAATGAGCGCTGGTTGTGAAGCAGGAAGGTGTATTATTCATGTTAACACCACTGAATGCAGCTTTGGATTTAATTAAAGCTTAGGCTGCACTACAGGAAATGTGAGTCTGCTAATGCATCACGTCCATGATCTCCATGCAATCCTTCTCCAAAGCAGCACACACACAAACACTGATGAGGATGTTCGCAGAGCCAACCGCTTCGTGAAGAATAAGAAAATAAGAAAAGAGGGAGGGGCTCAAACTCCTCCTGTGCACGACCAAAAGCAGAGAAATGCCCCTTCGGTTTCTCTTCTTTGTTTTTATCTGCAAACGTTAAACATAATCTGTGAATATTTCCCTTCCTGTTCCATGAGGATGTTGCTCGATTTGATCATCCTGCACAAATTCTTGAATGACGGCGGTACGTTTCGTTAGGTTCTGGATTCTAAGCTGTGACTCTTCACTGTGGAGTTCGCAGGTTCTCGCTGAAGTCTGGGTCCAACATGTCAACTTAATAATTTCTAGCCATGCACTCCTGAAAATATCTAGATAATTTCAAGACGTCAGCTCCCGATATTCTCCTGACCTGGCTGTACACATACTGGAGAACAGGAAACATAATGCAGCAGGTTCATTAGAGCACAGAGATGGTAGAGGTGGCGTGCAGAGTCATGGTCGTGCAGCGATCACAGAGAATAAAGGTCACCATGTTCACACATGAAGCTCAGCTGAAAAGTTTGTCAGGGTTCAGGTGTGAAAGTAATATATGATTCAATTTGTTCTGCCTCAAGGAAGCTGAAACACCAACAAATCACCCTGATGTAGCTGAAAACTGGAGAAACAGTGGCTGTAGCAATGCATCATGGTATATGTAGGCACTGCTGTTTCACAGCTCCCTTTGAACAGTTTTTTTTTTTTTTTTTTTTTAAATGAAATGGTCAAATCTCTTTTGTGCCTGATGATGACTTCCACTGCAGCTGACCCGACTCTTACACTTTGACCTGACATGACAGAAGTCGACGGAGGAGGAATTTGTTAAATTAGCTTATTTTAGATGTTTCTATCTTTCATCATCTTAAGGTGGTAACTTTTCTTTCAGTTTCATAAACAGAAAACGCTCAGGTTAGTCGACTTGATTCCGATTTTGCTGAATTGCTTCTAAGATTTAAGGCCACCAAAGATGTCTTTAGCATCGTGGTAGCAGGCTAAAAAAATATATGCGTCTCTTCCTGTTAAATGTAAAATGTTGTAGTTCAAGGTCGCAAAGAAATTAAAGAGTTTGTGTTCTGGCAGCTTCCTCGTCCCCCTGAGACAAAATGAAGAAAATCAAAAGATTGTTAAGGCTTAAAATCCAGCACCCAGATCATCGAAGGCAGGATTATGAAAGAGAAGATAAAAGAGGCAGCAGCAGGTGTACGAGGACAGCAGTGTGTGGCGTTTCCTCCTCGGCAGGTTTGTGAGAGCTTTCAACCTTCTCCTCCTGACCCTCGTTCTGCAGGAGGAGATAATTGCTTGTCAGGAATAAATAGAGAGATTAATGAATTCATTAGTGGCGGGGAGTTTAGCTCTTCGGAGCAGCACTTACGGCTATGACACATCACGCCTATTGTTTTACTAGCTAGTTAGCCTTGAACAATAACATTCACACAGCAAATTGGCTCACACGGCGGCGTTAAGCTCACACAAACGCCGTCCTTATCCTGGAGTTTAGCAATAAATGCAAACAAAGGCTCTTTAAATCCTGATTATTCATCTTAATTACTTTGGTCTGTGAGCGTGCGCGTCTGCAGGCGCTGCACGCAGACAGCACACATTAATCCACATTAGCAGGGAACGCCGTGGCGGACGATGTGTGCAGCTCGTGCTTCGCCGTTTTGTGCCAGAAGATACGTTGACTCTCCACTTCATTATCTGCTAAAGCGCTTCAAACCTTCAGAGTGTGCATCACAGGCCGACACGTCTGCGCCCTTTGTGATCTAAAGGTGACACCAGAGCTTTAAGTTTAGATATCAATCCATATTGATACCTGGAACTATTATGGGAAGGTGGCGTGCTCGCTGTGCACTGTAGTAGGGACCAGCTGACCTCCGTTTAGTACGGGAGCGGTCTCTGAAGCGGTTAGAGGAACACCTGTGTGGGAGGAGTTATGGTGAGAAGGTAAGGAAAAAGAGTTGAAACCGCCAAGCCTGTTGGCGTTCGTCAGGTCGTTAGAGATCTGTGTCGATACCACAGCGATTAAATAGAAATCCTAATATTGAGTTATTTTCCCTTTTTAATTTTACAAAATTGCAGGCGAACTCTTGCACATTTTCTAAATTGTACATTAACGTTGAGTTTTCAAGCAATTTAGAGCAGTAGTGGTTCCCGAACTTTTTTAGCATTTCGCCCTGTCTTGGTCTTATCTCGGTATCGACCTCTAAATGTCTTTGTCTTGTCTCGGAGCACTCTGGTCTTGGGTCATGTGGTCTTGACTACATCACTACTACATATCCTATCTGAAATACAGTATAAGACACATGTACGGTGGTTTAAACAGAGGTATCAGAAGGCTCTGGTTTATTACAAGATCTTTATTTTGTATTTTCAGAATCCTCGTTTTTACAAGTCCTCACAAAGCGACTGGAACAATCCGTCACATCAGAAACGTCTGTACAGCGCAAATAGAAAACACGCCATCCTCAAACTAAAAAAATACTAATTCAACAATCATCGAATCTGACCGAAACACTGATCATTCATCATGTTTGTTTTTACCCTAATTATCTGAAATAATAACAGACTTCCCCTAAAGACGCCACGTAGGTACAGACAGGTACACACGTCTGCACGCTTCCTCCTTCGTTTTGATTCATGAGCGTCTACAGGAGCGCCGTTAATCCCTCCGCTGTGAAAAACACCGACTGCAGACATACAGAGAAGATATTCAAACACAAAACATGGCAAGGTTTGTCATTGGGGTTACGATAACACTGATGTAGACAAACAATCTGAACCGCCTCGAATATGAGAATATATTCATGACCGTAGAAATGAAACACTGCAACGTAAAAACATACCCTCGATAACCGAAGTCAGTTTGTCGTGTTTATATCTGTAGGTATGAATCTAACATGGTCAGATGCAGAGGGTCAAACTTACAGCTTTCATGATGACCACCTGGGTTATCTAAAGGTTAGCTTTAACAAAGCTCCTGCTTCATATTCAGAAGTCATAGTGGGTGTGTGGTCGTTTTTAAATCAAGTGTACACGTTGAAATGTGTTCCTAATATTTAGCTCCCCTCGTGTGTTAGAGAAGAAGAACCAAAAGTGAGAACATGTTGGGCGGGGTTAAAGGTAGAGTCAGAAGCTTCCTCCTTCAAAAAAAAAATACAGACTTCTCCTAAAGTGAAGCTGCTCCATCATCCCTTCTGGGCCTCCATACATGTGTGGTGGTGACTGTGTCTACAGAGACTCTGTCCTCTGACTGGATTTTACTGCTCTGGTTGATTCAGGATGTTTCTGGGCGGAGATGACAGCGCAGCAGGTGAGTTAAGGAGAGGATACAATTCAGCGATTGGATGCCATTCAAACTGGAGAATATGACGGACGTGGACGTAGCAGCAAAGAAGAGATAATATAATCAGAGTGAGGAGAAACACCAAGTGAATAAAGCTCGTTCTAAAATGAGGGTGAACCTTGTGTTGTCTTTTACCCGTGGACGTGGAGTTGGTTTGCTTCCTGTTGGACAGGCAGGTGACAAACACCGGTGGTTAGCTTGTGCTAGCGTGCGTTAGCTTGCAGTGTAGGTACAAGCAGTAAACGTACACACTACTTCCTGCAGGGGGTGGGGCTTCTGGGGGAGATGAGTTTAGGAGGAGGGGCCCAGTTTGTTGTGTTTACAAAAATTTCAATTGACTCCACCTTTAAAAAAAAAAGCTTCTACATGTTTGTTTTTGTTGAGAAGGTCAGAGAGAGGATATGGAATGCGTAGTGGGTGTGTGGTACATTGAAAGGTGTTTCTCATATTTTGCTCCCTTCATGTGTTAAAGAAAAAATAATTAGAGTGAGAACATGTTCAATCTGAGACCAGAGACTCAATTTCTTTAATACGGTATTTAATGTCCATCTCCTGTCGGACTCATTGAGCACCTTTTCTCTGGATCTTTGAAGGAAATAAGATGTTTAGAAAGAAACTAGCTTTAAAAAGCTGTATAAATCCTGATGTTTTTGTGACCCTCCATCTTTACTCTACAAGCTGCATCGATAAATTCAACAGTAAACGTTCGTTCAAACAAAAGTACTTCATGTGAAAGCGCTCGTCTTTCCTCCTGTGGATCCGATGATACTGTACCTGCAGGTGAACACTGAGTCCTCACAGACAGGTGTACAGTCACATCATCATTCCTTTTATCAAGAATAAATCCAACTGTAGATATAGAAGCTAATAATGTAGAATAAAAGGTCTGCTATATAGATGCATATCAGTCTAGGTTTAAGTTCTCCGACTGCGTGTTCTCTGCTGATACGTAAAAGAATCCGGAGATAAGAGCAGACTTTCAAACTGATCCCCCCCGTGTGTCTGTGTTTGGCATGATGGAGCCAAAGGTTTCAAACATCCGAGCTGATCCGCAGAACGATAGACGCTCCGCCGCTAATCCCTTTTCTCCAGGTGAGCATAGATAAAGAAGCAGCGATGAACAAAAAAAAAAAAAAACATGACAAACTCTGCTCGCTTTGTTCAACCGCCGCTCTCCAAAAAAAAAAAGGATCGAAAATACTGTGTCGTCCGGCAGAAAGCACCAATCAGTCAGTAAGGAGCTCGTTACCTCCTGTTTGCTCATCCAGGGTCAGCAGGTCCCGCTGTGTTACCTGTGATTACCTGCGTCTGGCTTCAGGTCGATGCAAAGTCCTCATAAGCAGAGCGGAGCCGACACGTCCCTCAGTCCTGATGCGACTTCTCCTGAATGAATTTATATTCATACTGAAAACACAAACACACCAGAGAGGAAAGACATGAGGTACAGGATTCCTTCATGGTCTCTTTCTTAGAGTAGCAAAACCCCCCTAACCCCCCTAACCCTTACCCCCCATATACAGGTAGTAAGTAGTGTTGTTGATCTATTCTGGTCCAATTCTCGACATCTGAGTACAGGGTATTTATACAGTAGCCTTGCGTATCCTGCAGGGGTTCGGAGTGCCGGTTGTGCGCATCCACAGAAATTAATGCTACTCGTCCGGGAGATGTAATATGCATATGACCACTAGGAGCAGTGTAAGGTTAGGGTTAAACATAAATTTATGTTGCAAAAGTTTCAGCGCTGCTTCTCCATTCGTCGTTCATGCCGTAATAACCTCCCTTTGCTTGCGTGTGTGTGTGTGTGTGTGCGCGTGTGTCCTATAAATTTATGAAGGGGTGAGTGGGCGTGTCTAATCCCTCCCAGGCTCATCCATGATTACACATGGACGTTATAAAAGCATTTTTTGAAAGATGCACTGCAGCAAAAAAACTCTGGGCTTCAGTTATTCTTTAAAGGAAATATTTGTGATGCTTTACAGTCCATCCAAAGATCCCTCAGTGTGTGGAATAGTAATTTAAAAGTGTTTTGCAAAGTGAATATATTGAAAATGATTCCATTTCTCACCAAGGCTAGCTGCCGCCCGATGTTGCCCATAGTTATCACCCCAGCAAAGAAGATGCAAGGTAACCAGGAGCGGATATACAGAAAGTCTGGAGACGTATACCTGAGAGCAGAAGAAACATGAAACACTTTAAAGGTCACATATGATACATATTCACCATGTTTCTCTAACACTAATATGTGTCTCTAGTCTCTACAAACCCCCCAATGATGAGAAAAGTTCATCCTCTCCGTCTTTTGCCTGCTCCACTTTTCAGAAAATGTGTGCTCAGGCAGGCTGTTTAGAGAGTTTCCCTTCATGACATCACAAAGGGCAGTAACTCCTCCCCCAGGTGGGTGACACTCCCACAGCTAGGTGTTTGTTCTGCCCTCTGAGTCTGCCTTCTCACCGTAAACAATAGACATGGAGCGAGAAAGCCAGAGACACCCAAGCCCTTCCAGAGAGGGGGCGTGGTCAGACACAGCTCATTTACATTTAAAGGTACAGACACAGAAACAAACCGTTTCCTGTTCTTATCTAACTATTACTTTGCATCTTCCTTACATTAGCTGCATCGTTTTCTTACTCCATATTTTTCCACAGTTCTCGTCTCAGTGACATCTAAACGTGTGTGAACTTACTGGAAGACTCCGTTGTAAACCAGGAGCTGTGTAGCCAGCGTTGCCAGCAGGGCGATGGTGACCCCGAGGCTGAAGCCACTGCGAGAGCGATCGAACGTCCACCACAGGCCGATGGAGAGCGCCGCCAGAGTCAGAGACAGCTGAACGTTGTTGGCAAAGTCCACTTTCTGATGGAGTACAGAGGTCAAGGATCGGGCAGTCCAAACATAGCTGAGTCACAGTGGTGATAACAAGGAAGACTCAACATTTTACACAGACTGTCAGTAAATCCAGAGCTCTCCAGGGCGGATATGAACAAATACTGCTCAGTTTAAGTTTTACCATCTTAAATAAACATGTTGAACAACAGCAGCAAAGGCATCGGTCTTTAAGGATACAGCACTGGCGTGGTTGATCCCGACAAACACGGCAACACAGCGCATCACACTGGACCACTCCCGCTTAAACTTGTGAGGTTCACCCAGACAGCTGTCGATGCAGGGGTACAGCAGCCCGATCATCGCTGCAGGACAGAGAGAACACAGAGCAAAACATTTAACAGCAGGCAGCACATCCAGCGCTCACGCCCGCTGTGAGTGCACGATCAGTTCTGTATTGTTTTACACTGACATGGAGGGATTACTGGACACACATGCACAGGCTCCGAGAGTCGGGGGGGGGGGGGGGGGAGTTGGAAATATCAAACAGACTCTTAAACATTTATTTACAGTTTTTTAATTAGCTTATATTGATTTATACTCCTGTAACTTAATTTCCTTGTGAAGCACTTCTCCTAAATGAAAGATTCTACATAAAGTTTTAATATTACAGTCACTGAGGCAGACATGAAGCCAAACAAAATCCAAAAAGCTGCCTTCAGAAACAGCTACTTGCTATTTTGATATAGAATTAAACACTTCTGCATCAGAGCTGTTCCTGACAACCTATAACCGCCCTTGAATTAAATTAAACAGATTTCTGCACCGTCAACAAATTACAGCAGAGCTCCCCTGGGACGAAAAGCGCAGTGTGTGTATTAGCAACAAGTGGAAGCGTTGTGTTCCTGCAGGAGGCTCAGTGTGTGTGTGCATCTGTGTGTGTATCTGTGTGTGTGTGTGTGTGTGTGTGTTTGTGTGTGTGTGTGGGGGGAGGAGGAGAGCCTCAGGCTGTTGTGCTTTCCGCTCAGCCCCCTGGGAGCAGGCTGCACTGCGCTGAGTTTCCATCCCCAGCTCCACACCCAGGGGACGAGTTTTCAATAACGCTGCTTACTCTGCTGAAGTCCTGGCGGACTTGTTGTGCAGACTGCGTGCAGATGTGTGTGTGCTCTGACTGCTACGTGGTCAATAAGAGATTTCTTTCAAACTGCCATGGGCAAAACTTTTAAACTAATTACATAAAACAATGAATTACTTAGTCTAGTATACTTCCAGCTAAGACAATTAAAAAGCAATCATTACATTTTCATTAAGTTATGACATGATAACAGTGCAGGGTTTCAGTGTCAGTCAGCTGAGACACATGAGCATGTTTGAATCTTACAGAACAGGTTTTGTCATTTTGTCATAACTTGAGTCCGGTGAGTCTCTGTGAGTCTCACAGTGCCGTGCTCTGTGTGCCGTTGCACTGTGACACTTCACTAGCAGCTGAGCTGAACTGGTTTATCTGAAGGTCTTGCTTTAACTGAACAAACAAAGGAAGCAGGGAAACGTAAACACTCTGCCTTCCAGTGAGGAGCTCAAGTTCAGATCAGCACTCTTGTCTTCCATGTCTAGAAACCTTCCAGCATTCCCTAAAAGTGTGTTATGACTTCAGCTCACTTCAACACTCTTATTATTGTTGATTTAATTAGTTGTTCTTTGTGCTGTTCTTAATTTTTCAGTAACACACATTAGAAAGGACTACAGTTTTAATATTTCACCTTAAAAATGATACGAACTACGCTTGACTTAAGCCAAATTTCAGAAGTTACTTCATGAAGACTGCCCCTGAAATCCTCCTGATCTGGTCGTTCACACATGCACCTCACAGCGGTAGATTATCACCCTCCCACTCGCTCCAGGTGAATTCTCCTGATTATATCCAGCTGGGACTAAACCCCACATCTAACTTTCTATTTCCTTTTAATTTCTAAAAGTAAAATTTAAACCAGGAAGGATGAGGAACTTAATTTGGAGCGCGTTCACATACCTGAGGCTGTGCCACAGCAGGGCGGCACCCACCACGCTGAGGAGAAGATACTGCTGATGACATCCGGGGGGAAGAGGGTGACGTTTCTCTGCACCTGAAGAAGGTTAAGCACCAGAGCCAGGAACACGCCCACAGAGAACAGCATGGCTCCGCGGATCAACAGGTTGGTGGTCCTACATGGCAGAGAAGAAAGGCAGTCAGGAGAATCGAAAAATGTGTCCTGTTCAATTTTTGAAACGGAAAGTGATTCATTCTCTTCCTCATGTCAGAAATACCAAAAAGAAAAACTTCAGTGGGGGAGTCCCTGCCTTTGGTCAGCATGATGATCTACCTGAGGTGAGTTCATGCAGAGAAAAACCAACAGCTTACCTGTTGGTGATGACTGAGATAAAAGGCCCCCTGGGAGGCTGCAGCGTCTGCCCGGACCCTGACCACTGCTGCCGGCCGCTGGTCACTGTGCTGTCACTCATGGCTGTCAGTGTTAGGGACATTCGTGAGCCTACTTCCGGAGAATACTCGATGCTGTATGACGTCCACCGGTGAGGTTAATATGTTTCCCTGACATCACACACTGAGCTGAAAAAAAAAAAAGAATCAAGAGAGAGTGAAGACACCCGCCTGAACACAAGTTACAAGCTATGATTTGAAATTCTTTAGATTGGAGTTAACAGGAAACAAACTTTTTTTCTGTTTTTTGAATCAACAACAGCATTAAAACAATTTTATTACAGAAAAAAAATGAGATTGTCCAGTTTATTGTCATGGAAAGACCAAATGAAATAAAAGACAAAACAAAGATGTTGTCTGACAACAGAGATCTTTAAGGGCGAGGAGACAAACTCTACACTTTTATAACACTACATGTGTGTCTGCCACTTCTTTAAAATCCTAACTGCTCCACCAGGTTCAAACCAAGGATAGTAGGCAAATCAATCCCGAGACTCCATGAATCCACATACAATAAAAACATCATTATCTCATGATAATCTCATCTCATGGTCTTATGAGATATTCTAATAATTTGCGATACCTGATTGTTTTTATTTTCATGAGCTGTAATCATCAAGATTAAAACAAATAGTCTTCAAGAACTTCACCTTAAGTGTAATGAATCTTGAATATATTGGAAAGAAACCTGTATGTATACAATGTTTTAGTTACACAGGTGTTCCTGAGCTTTTACACGTTTTTACCTGTTTGAATTAGAGATGAGGCAGAGTTAGACAACTGTTCAAGTTCACTCACCTTTAGCCCCTCTCTGAGCCTCATACAGTCATAATAAGGTTACATGAGAGGCTAATACGGAGGTCAGCTCACGTCGTGTGACGTTGTTTGATCATCTGATTCACACTCTTAACTTAAAAAAACACTTTTTTCTATCATAAAAACAAACTTAGCCAGCTAAACTCGGCTCCTCTAGCTGTCGTGCTGAGGTCAAATGTGCTTTTATAATCATTGAGCAGTGTCAGCAGCATCGTTCTCTTCTCCTTGACTCTTTAAAATAGGTAAATAAACACCTGTGATAATAACTAACAAGTGGTTGTGATGAAGCGGAAATGCTAAGTTAGCTTAGCGTTAGCCTCTAGTCTGATTGAATGGATAAATACCGTATAGTTAGCCGCAGTTAGCATTTGTTTTAACAAGCTTTAAACCGTCGTAACACCGTGTCCGGTGTAAAGTAGAGCTCTTACCTTGTGCCGACAGATACCTTCCACAAATACGCTTACATATTAGAAAAAGATATTTACGATAAAGTGAGATGCTAGGCTACAAAACAAGAAATATTAATTAGCCTTCTCTCCCCACCGTGTGTACACTTCCGGCTGTATAAGCTGAACGAACACCCAATCAATCAGCGTCGAAGGCGATGACGTCAGCGCGTTACACAAAACGAACGGATTACGTGACTGAAGTTATTTACAGAGTACAGCTGCTGGATCTTTAAAAAGACACTTACAGCTATTTATGGAGAAATATTCTTAACGTTAAACGTAACATACCAACACAATTGTTACCGCTATGTTTAAATAAATAAATAAATAGCCTGTATTTGTTTTTTAATTACCTATGTTATGTTTATTATAGCATGTTTATTAGCATATCTAAGGACTTGATTATTATTGTATCTCTCAGGACAAGAACATACATATGTATTTTTTCTCTCCCACTTTCACAGTTTCTCTTTCGTTTTTATACTAATGTATTTTCTTATGTAGTGTACAAATGTCCATTAATATTCTGAATAACTAAGGGGCCTGCAGGAAAGTGTTGCTATGTACATGTGGAATTGTAACACGTTACTTTTTCCCGTTAGGGGTCGCGGGGGGCTGAAGCCGATCCCAGCTGCCATTTGGCTAGAGGTGAGGTTACACCCTGGACTGTTCACCAGTCAATCACAGGACTGATATACAGAGACATATAAGTCTCAGAGCTCCTAAAAACATGTGTGTGAAGTTTCTTGTTCTAAATCCACTCTGATCCTGTATTTGATCATGTCTATAAACCCCTCTATTTCAGCCCTGCTCAGAACAGGCTGTTTCTGTGTCTGTAGCTTTAAATGTAAATGAGCTGTGTCTGACCACGCCCCCTTTCTGGAAGGGCTTGGGTGTCTCAGGCTTTCTCGCTCCATGTCCTATTAATAGCTTTCATGTGACGTCACACTCTTATGGAACCGCCCACCTGGAGGGCAGAAAGGCTCTTCACCACGGTACGCTACTGAGAAGTTACTGGTATCAGTTGCCCCCTACGTGTTTTTATCTGTTTTATTTAAATAATTTCAAATGAAATAAAGATGTTGTTTAATGTGATACACTAACCGACGAGTAGACGAGCCCGAGTTTTGCTTCTACAGAATTTAATCAGAAAAAAACAGAAAGGAGGACGTTTGTGGATTAATGCAGTTAGACCCTCCGCGGCCCCTGTGAGGGGAAACATCGGACTTCTCCTCATCCTGACATCACTTATAGTGTTGACTAAAGCTAAATATTCCTGCCGTTAACTCAAATTACTGCCCAAGAACACTGCAATTGACAGCTCATACTATCCTGAAACTATCGCTAGCTAACACTAACTAGCTAATGTTAGCTAATTAGCACTCACCGATGCTTGAATGATGAGGAATTTCTTGCCCTTCACTTCTCAAACAGCAGCATTATCGACCCAGACCGATCAATAATACATAAAGCTGCCTGTATGTTTGTAGACTTTCAGCGACGTAAGGAGAGGGATTCTCCTCTAAATATCAACAATATCACTGAAGTTACGTTCTGGTGTTATGGTGAAAAGAGTGACCATGTTAACTGATGACTTTCAGATAAACGTGACTGAAAGTGTGCTAACAAATGCCTCTTTGTTCCGTTTTTGTATTATCATAATGTCAAAATTACTTATGAGATATGTTTTAATGACAGCTAAACAAAAGGGTTTCGTTAGGACACGTAACGTGCGACAACCAGACTTACTCGACTGACAGACACCAGTTAACATGGTAACTCTTTTAAACGTAACACCGGCACGGACTTTGTCGTTTCTAGTGATATTAGTGTCCCGTGTGCTGTTAAAGTATCGCAAGTGGCCCAAACTCAAAGTATATCTTAGTTTTTCTATGGTTGTCAGGAGATGTTAAATTAAAAGCCTGTGCTGCAGTTCTACAGGCTTTTCAACGGTGGCCGTTACTTTCCTGAGCGTTTTTTGCCCTCCAGCCCTCCGCCCTGGTGATGTCACTGAAAGCTATGAATTGTTTACGGTGAGAAGGCAGACTCAGAGGGGAGAACAAGCACCTAGCTGTGGGAGTGTCACCCACCTGGGGGAGGGGTTTCTGCCCTTTGTGATGTCATGAAGGGGAAATCTCCAAACGGCCTGTTTGAGCACTCATTTTCTGAAAAGTGGAGCAGGTAAAAGACGGAGAGGATGGAATTTTCACGTTGAATATGCAAACTTTAAGGATTAAAACCAACCACCACCATCGGCCTCAATCAGAAAAACGTTAAACAGTTCATTTCTAAATAGAAGCACGTTATTTGTGACTTTTTATGATATTTGCAAACTGGTCAAATCCTCAGAAAGGCTCATGCAGCATCGGACTTCTTATTTCAAAGCTAAACAGCTGTATGCCCCTCACACACACACACACACACACACACACACACACACACACACACACACACACACACACACACACACACACACACACAGACACACACAGACACACACAGAGAGAGAGTTAACTAGATGCTGCAACAACACTGCTGATGTGTTCTCGTGCTCTAATAGGCTTACAGAGATGCAGAGGTGAGAGAGTCACAGTGCGGAGTGGATCCACTGTAATCCTCCGTCCCATTTACACTCTGTTTTTGTATTCAGCATTACCGAGACCTGCTGCTCAGACGGTTTCAGGGATTATATCTGCAACACAATAGTTTCTACCAAAACACACTATCAACGCTCTCTCGTTTCCACTCAGGGCTCAGACTTCACTCCATCATGGTTAACTGAAGGTTTTTTTGCTGCAGCTTTAATAAAACATCCCGGCAGAGAAAGCTTAGAGCAAGCCGCTGCAACCGGAGATAAAGAGAGACAGAGGATTTTTAAAGAACACTTTCCCGATTTCGATCTGAGCCAAACATTAAGACATGAAGCAGATCGAAGATTGATCCAAAAGTCAACTGGACTGATTGAAGATCTTGAAGACGTTCCTCCCTTTCTCCATCTACACATAAACTCTTAAACAACACTTCTGATCATCTTCACCCTGGAAGAAGTTTTACAAAAGGTGTATTTTCAGTGACCTAAAAAGTTTGCGTACAAAAATGTCAAAACGCACAAATACCCGCCTACATGTGGACGAGGCCTCAGTCTTTGTGTCGTCCCTCTTGTTGCCAGTTCCTTTTGTTGCCCTGAGTTTTACCTCGTTCCAGCATTTATTCTGTATTACCCTCCAGTGTATAACTTCAACCTTCCTCTTTCCTTTTTCCCCTCAGATTTGTTTGCCTACTTTTTGGACATTCTGTGTCCTGTGACCAAACAAAAAATAAATCCAGAGTTTTTGTACTCTACCCCTTGGAGTCTGCTTTTGAATCCTTGGGTGTAGCAGCAGTGTAGTGCAGGGTATATGCAGGTATACGGCGTATACCCACTTCTAAATCCCTTCAGATTCACATCAATGATTGATTGACATGAATCAGTATATGCTGCATTTTTTTCCTAGGATGGAAAAATTAAGAGTATACCCACTTCTTTATATGTAGGCACCACTGGGTGTATGTCCTTGTGTCATCGAGTTCTTTGAAAGAAAGAATGAGGGGAAAGAGAGCATGTATCGGAGACTATCTTCAGCGATGTGTGAATTCTGATCTGCTGATATTGAGAGTAATTGGGTCAGAAAAAACAACGTTTGTTGGAATGAGTTAACATTAAAAACACTGTGAGTGTATAAGCTCTCGTAAACCAATAACCTGGTAATAGACGTGTTTATCGTTGGTGTAGGTCTTGTTGTAGCATTAAGGAATGAAAACATGAAGTATCCCCAACAAGTCTGACAGACAAAAAGGTTTGAGTGAGAAAAAAAAAGGAAAAGCTGATCATGGCTGCATTTCACCATCTTCAGAATCTGAGGTAAAGGCAGATTATTTACGCTCTCCTTTTTTTTTGAGCTGATAAGATGAGTCTGCAGGTTCTACACAGCTACCCCACTACCCACAATCCCCTGGGAGACTCACTTAACCCTTATAATTAGAGTGATAAAGGAAGTCTGCTAGGTAAGAGGAGGGTACGGGGGCTTTCAATTAGTTGTCAAGGGCTCCGCGGAGGCCCCCTGACGCAGCCACACATCCAGGGATTCAATTCATCATCCTGCCTCCGCCGAGCGCTAAGGGCCTTTTCATTATCAGACCGCTGAGTCCCACTGTCGGCCCCTTCAGGATAAACGTGACTGATGGCGTGCACGGGGTGGGATGGTGATGGAGGGGTGGAGCCGGGCCCTCGTCGTAAATGTCATCCCCATTGGACCGTTGCAGGTCTCAGCTCCAAAATAATAGGCCCTGTGACCTCTCTGTTGTCTATAATTAACCTCTAACCCCACCCCCTCCCCGCAGCATCCGCCAATCCCCAGACAGACACCATGATAGGAGGCTGTTTGCAGAGCCAGGACGCCGCCAACGCCGGGCTCCCTCTCTCTCTGCAGGAGGAGGCGTGATTTTAAGAATAAAGGGGTGAGGGAGAAACAAAAGAAAATGGCTGCTGGTATGTTTGATTTGACCTGAGCACAAAAAATTCAATATTTATTCATCTATCCTCAAGGTGAAAGCTGTGAAATGGAGTCAGGGTGCAAAATGAATCTTTATCCTTCAAATAAGAACACGATCTCTAAAAGATAAACAAAATGTGTAAAAACATCATTTTTAGCTCTGAAACTGTGACCTCACTGGGAAGCGTCATGGTCATAAATACTGAGAAATATACATCATCTCTATACTTTAAAATGTAGATTTATCTCTCACAGAGTGGAGTCAAAAAAATTATTTTATCCTTAAAATGTTAAAGTTATCTCTAAGACAGATCAGATTCATGATCAGAAATGAAACAAATACTTCATGATGACCCTTAAAAAGGTGTCATTTCTGAAACAGAAAACAGTCCTGGTGAGATATTCATACGAAGGAGTAGAATTTAAAAGGAGAATGATAATCATGCAGATCAGAGAATAAATCATTTACATGATGCTGTTGAGGAGACCAATGGTAATCTGTTTGTCCAACATCTATAGGCCGAGGATATCTGTGACCACATGGCAGCAGCTCGTCTCTGAGTAAAAGGGGTGAGTCCAGTCCTCAAGGATAGC